CCTCCATGCCCATCCCCCCCTCCCCCCCACATCCATCAGTCCTCAGTTTTTGTCAGCATTCAAGAGTCTCTCATGGTTTGCCTCTCTCCCTTTCCCCCACCATTTCCACCCTTCTTCTCCCCCTTGTTCCTCCGTCAAGTTCCTCCTAATCCTCCTATACGTGCAAACATATGATATTTGTCCTTCTCTGCCTGACTTATTTCGCTCAGCATAACACCCTCAAGGTCCATCCATGTTGCTACACATGGCCAGATTTCATTGTTTCTCATTGCCATGTAGTATTCCATGGTATAGATAAACCACATCTTCTTGATCCATTCATCTGTTGATGGACACTTAGGCTCTTTCCATGTTTTAGCTATTGTGGAGAGTGCTGCTATGAACATTGGGGTCCATGTGCTCCTATGCCTCAGCATTTCTGTATCCCTTGGGTAAATTCCTAGCAGTGCTATTGCTGGGTCATAAGGGAGTTCTATAGTTAGTTTCCTGAGGAACCTCCACACTGTTTTCCAGAGGGGCTGTACCAGTTTACATTCCCACCAACAGTGTAGGAGGGTAATCCAGGCCTTCCTAAAGAAGGAAGAAAGGTCTCAGATACATAACCTAAGCTTACACCTCAAAGAGCTGGAACAAGAACAGCAAATAAAACCCAAGACCAGCAGAAGACAGGAAATAATATTAGAGCAGAAAGCAATGCTATCAAAACAAAAAGAAACAAACAAACAACAACAACAACAAACCCCAGTAGAGCAGATCAATAAAACCAGGAGCTGGTTCTTTGAAAGAATGAACAAAGTTGATAAATCCCTAGCCAGTTTGACCAAAAAGAAAAAGGAAAGGACCCAAATAAATAAAATAAAGAATGAAAGAGGAGAGATCACAACCAACACTGCAGAAATATAAATAATAATAAGAGGATATTACGAACAATTATATGCCAATAAACTGGGCAATCTGGAAGAAATGGACAAATTTCTAGAAACATATGAACTACCAAAACTGAAACAGGAAGAAATAGAAAATTTGAACAGACCCATAACCAGTAAAGAAATCAAACTAGTAATCAAAAATCCCCCCCCTCAAAAAAGAAAACAAGGGTCCAGGGCTGGATGGCTTTACAGGAGAATTCCACCAAACATTTAAAGAATAGTTAACACTTATTCTCTTGAAGCTGTTCCAAAAAATAGAAACGGAAGGAAAACTTCCAAATTCTTTCTATGAAGCCAGCATTACCTTGATTCCAAAACCAGACAAAGACCCCACTAAAAAGGAGAACTGTAGGCAATTTCCCTGATGAACACAGATGGAAAAATCCTCAAAAAGATACTAGCCAACTGGATACAATAATACATTTAAAAAATTATTCACCACGACCAAGTGGGATTTATACCTGGGATGCAGGGCTGGTTCAATATCCACAAAACAATCAATGTGATACATCACATCAATAAAAGAAAGGACAAGAACCACATGATCCTCTCAATAGATGCATAGAAAGCATTTGACAAAATACAGTATCCTTTCTTGATAAAAACCCTGAAGAAAGTAGGAATAGAAGGATCAAAGCTCAAGATCATGCTAATATCACCCTCAATGGGGAAAAACAGAGCTTTTCCCCTAAGGTCAGGAACACGACAGGGATGTCCACTCTTGCCACTGTTACTCCACATAGTATTGGAAGTCTTAGCCTCAGCAATCAGACCGCAAAAGGGAATAAAAGGCATCCAACTTGGCCAGGAGGCAATCAAATTTTCACTGTTCGCAGATGACATGATACTCTAAATGGAAATTCCAAAAGATTCCACCAAAAAACTGCTAGAGCTGATCCATGAATTCGGCGAAGTTGCAGGATATAAAATAAATGCACAGAAATGGGTTGCATTCCTATACACCAAAAATGAGGCAACAGAAAGAGAAATCAAGGAATCAATCCTATTTACAATTGTACCAAAACTCATAAAATACCTAGGAATAAACATAACCCAGGAGGTGAAAAATCTATACACTGAAATGTATAGAAAGCTTATGAACAAAATTGAAGAAGACACACACAAAAAAGGAAAAATATTTCATGCTCCTGGATTGGAAGAACAAGCATTGTTCAAATGTCAATGCTACCAAAAACAATCTACATATTCATGCAATCCCTATCAAAAGAACGCCAGCATTCTTCACAGAGCTAGAACAAACAATCCTAAAATTTGTATGGAACCAGAAAAGACCCTGAATAGCCAAAGCAATCTTGAAAAAGAAAACTGAAGCTGGAAGCATCATAATCCCAGACTTTAAGATGTATTACAAAGCTTTAATCATCAAGACAGTAAGGTACTGGAACAAAACCTGCCACTCAGGTCAATGGAACAGAATAGAGAACCGAGAAATGGATCCACAAACATATGGCCAACTAATCTTTGACAAAGCAGGAAAGAATATGCAGTGGAATAAAGACAGTCTCTTCGGCAAATGGTGCTGGGAGAACTGGACAGCGACATGAAGAAAAATGAACCTGGACCACTCTCTTACACCCTACACAAAAATGTACTCAAATGGATGAAAGAGCTAAACGTTAGACAAGAAGCCATCAAAATCCTAGCGGAGAAAGCAGGCAAGAACCTCTTTGATCTTGGCCACAGCAACTTCTTACTCAATACGTCTCTGGAGGCAAGGAAACCAAAGCAAAAATGAACTATTGGGACCTCATCAAAATAAAAACTTCTACTCAGTGAAGAAAACAATCAGCAAAACTAAAAGGCAACTGATGGAATGGGAGAAGATATTCTCAAATGACATATCAGATAAAGGGTTAGTTTCCAAAATCTATAAAGAACTTATCAAACTCCACACCCCCAAAAAAACCAATATAATCCACTAAAGAAATGGGTAAAAGACATGAATAGACACTTCTCCAAAGAAGAACAGACACATGAAAAAATGTTCAACATCACTCATCATTGGTGAGATAGACATCACCTATCAGAATGGCTAACATTAACATCTCAGGAAACAGCAGATGGCGAGAATGCAGAGAAAGAGGGTCTCTTTTGCACTGCTGGTGGGAATGCAAAAAGATGCAGCCACTCTGGAAAACAGTATAGATGTTCCTCAAAAATTTAAAAATAGTATTCCTCTATGACCCAGCAATTACACTACTAGGTATTTATCCAAGGGATATAGGTGTCCTGTTTTGAAGAGGCACATGCACCCTAATGTTTATAGCAGCACTATCAACAATAGCCAAAGTATAGAAAGAGTCCTAAATGTCCATCGATGGATGAATGGATAAAGAAGACGTGGTATATATGTATATATATATATCTTGACAATCAAAAAGAATGAAATCTTGCCATTTGCAGCTATGTAAATGGAACTGGAGGGTATTATGCTAAGTGAAATTAGTCAGTTGGAGAAGGATAAATATCATATGGCTTCACTCATATTTAAGATACAACAGAATTTAAGATACAAAACAAATGAACATAAGGGAAAGGAAGCAAAAGTAATATAAAAACAGGGAGGGGAACAAAACATAAGGGACTCTTAAATATAGAGAACAGAGAGGTTGCTGAAGGGGCTGTGGGAGGGAGGATGATCTAAATGGGTAAGGGACATTAAGAAAGCTACTCCTGAAGTCATTGTTGCACTATAGCTAACTAACTTGGATGTAAATTAAACAATAAATGAATTTTTTAAAAAGGAAAGAAAAATACTCCAAAAATCCTCTTAAAATTGGTCAGAGGAGAAATTAAAATTAATCAATTCAATGTCCCATTAAGAAACAATCAGGCAAATCCAGCAAGAGGGACATTTACAGGCCAATTGACCATTCTCCAATAAGTTTAATTTTTTTCATGTTTTATTTATTTATTTATTTTTTCTTTTTTTTTTTAATTTTTTTTTATTTATTTCTAGAGAGAGAGAGTGAGCAGGGGAGGGTCAGAGAGAGAGGGAGTCAAAGACTGAAACAGGCTCCAGGCTCTGAGCTGGCAGTCAGCACAGACCCCGACGCGGGGCTCGAACCCACGAACCGTGAGATCATGACCTAAGCGAAAGTCCGACGCTTAACCGACTAAGCCACCCAGGCGCCCCATGTTTTATTTATTTTTGAGAGAGAGAGACAGCGTGAGCAGGGGAGGGTCAGAGAGAGGGAGAGACAGAATCTGAAGACAGGTTCCAGGCTCTGAGCTAGCCATCAGCACAGAGCCCAATGTGGGACTCGAACCCATGAACCGTGAGATCATGACCTGAGCCAAAGTCAGACGCTTAACCTACTGAGCCACCCAGGCGCTACATCCAATAAGTTAACATCCTAGAGAGAAAAGGAAGTTCCACACTTTTAAAACTTTAATATATTTATAGATGCCCATCGCTTGCTTAAAAATATTATGGAAAAAAATTGGAAGGAGGAATATAAATGGGACAAAATAAACAAAATTTCATAATTCTTGTAATGGTTGATGGGTACATGATTTTCCACTTTACTATTTTCTTAACCTTTGCATTCAATTGAAAATTTTCATTGTGGAGAGTCGAAAAAAGGGATACATATGAGTCACAGTAATCAAGAGTAATGAGAAATCACCATTTTTAGAAAGATTGAGGGAACCTGAGTATAAAATAAGAATTAGTATTAGAAATTACTTTTAATTTTGTTAACTATGATATGGCATCATGACTATACAGGAAAATGTCAGTAATTTTTAGAGCTACACAGCGCTGCATCAAGGGGACAGTATAATGATCTTTGTAATTTATCCTGAAATGTTAAAGCAAAAAAAAAAAATGATGTAGCAAATATAGAAAGATGTTAGTTGTTAAATCATGATTACGGGTGTCCTCTATTCCTCTGCATAATTGAAAATTTTAGTAATAGGCAGCTGGAATAAGTCATTGAAATGTTTTTTTAATTCAGTGAAAAATTAATTTGTAATTAAGTACCTAGCTAAATAATGACTCAAATTGAGGCAAAATATGAAATTTCAGGCAAGAGCAATTTAACTTACATCCCGCATACTGTTATGTTCACTTTTTCATCCAGGATACTGATTATCTTTGGTACATGAACTTTGACCTCAAACTTGGGAAGCACTGTTTGTAGAGATAATGGAAATAGGAGGTTGGTAAATATTTAATGGAAATACAAATATTTTGATGTCTATAATTTTCCCCCAAATAATATCCTGAAGGCCTAGATGCACTTTTCAATGACTAACTTTAAGATGATAAGGTTTAACAATTCATGCAAAATTTAACTGACTTTGTGATGACAGCAGATCTCAATGACACTAACAAATGATGGTGGTTCCACTGAAATAAGAATTTTGATACTTGGCAAGGTGTAACTTCCTACTGGGAATCAGCCTCTTGTGAACTTCTGGTGCACAGAATTATGATGACTTTACAAGCTGCTAAAGCTTATTCTAATCTGAGTTCAACATACCTATGAGGAATTCAAAAAATCTAAGTGAATGCATGGTATGAACCAAAACATTACGTCCTTTTCATCTTTCATAATCCATACCAACTTCTTCTACAGTGAAGGAGTGCTCTATCCTTTCGCCTGATTCCTTCTGCACCACCACCTTGTAAGAGCCCTGAACGGGCTCGGATGAGAGGGGAAAGGCCAGCTGTTGCAGGCCACTCTCCAACTGGAGGCTCTGCCATTGTCCAACACGATGTCTCTTTGGGTCCTACAGGGAAACAAGGAGCATGGGGAATAATCATGTAGCCATCATAGTCCTTGAACAAAACAAAAGACTTTGGGGTTGGTAACTGGCATTGCCTTCAGAAGAGATAAACATAGAAGAAAGATAAAACAGAATAAGCCTGACATCTGCGAGCAGGGAATTTTAGATATGAAAGGGTTTTTTTTTTTAATAGTAATTCATCTGTAAGGAATATCAGAACTTCCATTCTTAAATGTACTGCTTTCTTTATACAAGATTCTGATGCTTACCTCAAGATATACCAGTGGAATCTACATGAAAAAAGGAAAGAAGAGATGCGATTAGAATTTCACCAAAGGCTATGATTTCAGAGTTGTGATCAAATAGCTTAACTCAGGGAAAATGGATTCTGTAGTAAGTTATAACAAAATTTAACTTGAAACATTAAAACAACTAAAATTGCTCAGGGAAACTTGTAAATGGTTCTAAGTGAAGAACATAAATAATATATTTTCACAACAATCATTGTGTTACCATTTTATTAATGGTATTAATTATTAAAATTTTTATTAATTTTAATTATTAAAAGTTTTATTAATATTTATTAATTATTCATACTTTTGTCAGTAATATTTAGGTACTTACATCCTCTGAGTAAAGAATATGACTATCTTGTTTACTTACATAACTGAGGAAATGGATATTAATAGAGTGATAGGTCATTATGATTTAGACCAGTTAGGAATTTGGGTTAACAGTTAACCAAGAAATACTTATTCTAATTTAAAAATTGCATTTTTAGAGTAGTTTTGTTTCTTTGGCTGTTGAAAGCTAGTTGGAGGAAGGGACACCCAATTAACAAAAGTGAAATCTTTACATAAGATATATATCATATATGTTAATATCTATTATAAATATTTGTGTTTAGAGTATGTATGTGTATTTGTTACCATATTATAATATTGTCTACTATGTATATATTCAGAAACAGTGACACTCCCGTGCTTTTAGTAATCATAAACTCCTTGAGAGTATGGATATGAATAACATCTAACTTTTTTACTCTTTATTATGTTTAATGTATTATGTTCACAGCAATAAATGTAGCTGACTTTTGTCAAGCTGGTTAATTACTGTTAAAAAAGAATAGCATCCTCATCTTTTACCCCTCAATATTCCCTTACATAAAACTCTAGATCTGTAGCAAGCCTGGAGGCCAGATTCCAAAAGGAATGTCTGCCATCTTCTTGCTTTTCCTGGCCCTTCTGCTCCTGTTTGGGTGACTACTCCCATCCCCTCCCTCACCTCTGCCACCAACCCAAACCATAAGTATTGAGATCCTTACCAGTTCACTTAAGGGGTGAAAGTTTTCATCCACAGAGACAATACGGAATTTTACTAAAAAAGAAATGTTCTGATAAGACTCAGACATGATATGATAAGGCAGATTATGTGAGTGATAGAGCAGGGGGCTAAGAGATGGGGACAAGAGTGACTGGCTAGAAAACCAGCTTTGGGGTGGCCTCTCCTTCTCAGTACTGCCCCTCATAGTGGAATTTCCCTACATACCTGTCTGTCCTGGTTTATAGATGGGTTTGTCTGTCTGGACAAAGACCAAACTTTGAGCATTCTTTACCAGCACTGTGTTCCTCTTCCTGAAGTCTTGTGTTGGTCCCTTTATCTGGACACTGAGAAATGCCACCTCCAAAGAGGATGAGCTCCTTGGGAGCTAAACAACAAAGAATACCACTGAAGAGTTGCACAGTCTTCTTTCTCTGAGTTCTTCACTCGTGACTATTTTCTACCTCCCTTTCAGCTTAACCAAGGGCTAAGTAAGTATAAATATTTCTCCAGACACGAATGAAGATAATAACATAAGATATAGGGGAGATATGTCAGTGATAATAGCCATCAGTGGGACCCAAATCTCCAGATAGCTAACCTGGAACTTTAGTTATTAAATCACACTCCTCTTAAAGGAGTAAAATACTTGCGGGAAGGATAGAAAGGATCATCTTTGTAAAAATATGGGAGAACGTGGGAGCTGAGTATCCCAAGCACAAAGAGGGTGACCTCAAAGAGGTACTGAATGTTTGCTTTGAGTGTCTGGTACTATTTGTACGTTCAGAAGACAAAGCCATTTAACATTTCACCACAGGAGAAAAATTCTGCTACATGTTGTCCTACCATGAAATTTTTGTATAATCTCTTTCTAGGCATTGTCTTGCTCTGACTTTAATGAGATGGTTACATATGAAAATTAGAAAACCTCTTTGACTAAGTTAGGGCACATGAGTAGTTCCAGCATCCAGCTCTTGATTTCGGCTCAGGTCATGATCCCATAGTTCATGAGATCGAGCCCCACATTGGGCTCTGTGCTGACAAAATGGAGCCTGCTTGGGATTGGCGTTCTCTCTCTCTCTCTCTCTCTCTCTCTCTCTCAAAATAAATAAACTTTTTTTAAAAAAGAAAAGAAAAGAAAAGAAAAGAAAAGAAAAGAAAAGAAAAGAAAAGAAAACCTCTTTGGCTAATTCATGCTTTCTATGGCTAATAGAATTCTTTTTTAATTTAAATTGACCTTTGGCATGCAGAGAAATACGTCTCTCTTATGCTGATGGAAAATCCATGCTTTGTTCCTTAGTAGCTGGAAACTCACTCTCTTTAGTACTTTATGAGGTCCCCACTAACACTTTTTTTAATATTTTATTTTTTTATTTAAAAATTGTTTTAAATATTTTTATTTATTTCTGAGAGAGAGAGAGACGGCATGAGCAGGGAAGAGTCTGAGAGAGAGGAAGATAGAGAATCTAAAACAGGCTCCAGGCTCTGAGATGGCTGTCAGCACAGAACCCGATGTGGGGCTCGAACCCACGAACCACCGTGAGATCATGACCTGAGCCGAAGTAGGATGCTTAGCCAACTGAGTCACCCAGGAGCCCCTATTTTTTTTAAAGGCTCCATACCCAAACGTAGGCTCAACCTCGTGACCCCAAGATCAAGAGTCACATGGTCTACCAACTGAGTCAGCTAGGTGTCCCAGCTCACTAACATTCTTAAAGTCATTCTTTGGGATTCAACACCACCTATCCATCACCAGGATTCAATATAAAGTATCAAACAAGGACAGGCAGATAGTACTCACAGTGAAGGAGACACAGTGGAATAAGTCCTTCTCCACCACCAGGTCAGTGAAGAGGCTCTGGTTTCCCCTGAGGGTCTCCAAGGAAGCACTTACAGTCACTGTCTCATTCAGGTAGCTCAGAAGGAAGCAGCCCTTCTCAGGGGTCTCCGTGTGGAGCAGGGAGGGGACCAGTGCCAGGTACTGCCTGAGAAGAGAAGGGAAGTCAGAAAAAAATATGTAGAGTAACAAGCATTTTCAACTGTAAATGTGTTTTCCATAACAATATGTATTTCTTGCTACAATTGATTCTATACCAAGTGTCAATGGACAAAGAATAGTAAGATGGAAGGTTTGTCACTGCCTGGGATAAGAATTATATCTTTTACTCCTGAGTAGTCCCTCACCCACACAGTCTACCAGAAGTTGGCCTCAAGGGTGTTAGAGGTTTATATGCATTCTTTATATTAAAGAGCATTAACATCTGAGTTCCTGAATATATATCCATAAGAGTGCACATATATAATAAATTGCTGATGATTACATTAAATTAAATCTGTCTATATAAACATCCCTTATGCATGAACACTGCAACTGAATTCTTATAAATTCATCTGGAAAATCTCAGTGAAATTGTTTTCTTTATAACAGCAACACTGAACATTAACGATTGACATTCCCCTTCATTCTCACCCTTTTGAGGTAATCAGTATTAATATGTTAATATTAATACTTCTATGTCCATAAATAATGCTTCTGTTAAACCTATATGGGTCAATAAATTATCTTATGAAAAAAACAAGTTCATATAAAATGCATTATTTTACAGTCTTTTTTATTCTAATTATTATGTATTTAATTATTCAGAAGTATGGGCAATCTTTTATGTGAGTTTACTTTTTTAAGAATTTTTTTCAAGAGGGAGAGAGAGAGCACATACAAGTTGGGGAGAGGACAGAGGGCAAAGAAAGAATCTCGGGCACCTGGGTGGCTCAGTCGGTTAAGCGTCTGACTTTGGCTCAGGTCATGATCTCATGGTTCGTGAGTTCGAGACCTGCATAGGGCTCTGTGCTGACAGCTCAGAGCCTGGAGTCTGCTTTGGATTCTGTGTCTCCCCTTCTCTCTGCCCCTCCCCTGCTCATGCTCTGTCTCTCTCAGTCTCTCAAAAATAAATAAACGTTAAAAAAATAATTAAAAAAAAAAAAGAAAAGAGAATCTCAAGTAGGCTCCAAGCTCAGGGCAGAGCGTGATTTCAGGGTTCGATTCCATTACCCTGGGATCATGACCCGAGCTGGAATCAAGAGATGGATGCTTAAATGACTGAGCCACCTAGGTACCCGTTAACGACTGTATTTTTAAGTAATCTCTAGCCCCCAATATGGGGCTTGAATTTACAACCCCGTGATCAAGAATCACATTCTCTATTAACTGAGTCAGTCTGGAGCCCTTGTGAGTTTACCTTCTTGATTTCACTGATACGTTTCCTTTATCTATTATATTCTTACATTCCCTCCCCCTCCCTCCCCCCCCCCACACATATTTCCAGTCACAATTCTAGCTATTTTTCAGGAACCATCCCAAGTAACACCTTTGACAAAAACCTTTAGTGGAACACTCGACTCTGTATGATCTTCCCATAACCTGAACCCCTATGGGCTGAAATGTGTTTCTTAAGTGCCTGGTACTTGCAAGGAATTGTGTTAAGCAGTGTCTGTATTAATCGTTCTAGTAATCCTATATGGTGCATACATCATATTCTTTATGTGCGTGACAGCTAAAACATGGGATCCTCGCCAATCCCCAAATTTGAATATACAACAGTAAGATAAAATCTCTGCCTACTCACTAAATCAGTAAACTATACATAAAATGTGACTCTGCAAAACCTTAGTGATTCAATAGCTGCAGATTTAAGCCATTTATTTATAGAGTTAATTTACAATAAAAAAAGAGCTATTCTTTTCTTATATTGTTTTACTCCGCTTACCCTTCTACCCCCAACATGGACACTTATGCTTAAAAAAAAAAAAAAGCAGGCAGTTTGACACATGAAACACTATTTTATTACTTTTCAAAATTAATAGGTATGAGACTTTGAGAAGAGAATAACAGAGATAGTATAGTTGTGGAATCTGGAAGTCAAATTTGGTTCTATCATTCTCCAAGTGGTCTCCAATATACTCGTCAAGCTATGTTTTAAGTTGTTTCTGGGCAAAACTATATGTCATGAATCTTTAGATCCACTCTTCAATAGTTAAAATCCCATACACAAATTCAATGCAATCCTTATCAAAACTCCAATGACATTTTTGGAGAAATAGAGAAATCTGTACATATTCTCTTTTAATAAACTTTAAGGGCAAATCACTCCAAGTTACCAACAAACACTCATAATTAAACTATGAAGTAATATATCAAACGTTGCACATTGGGAGCTACCATTTGGTTACACAGAGGATCCGATCCAATAGAGTGATTTTCACCAGCCAGAGTGGCTAAAATGAGCAAATCAGAGGACTCGAGATGCTGGGGAGGATGTGGAGAAGGGCACCATCCTACACTGTTGGTGGGAATGTAAACTGGTGCAGCCCCTCTGGAAAACAGTGTGGAGGTTCCTCAAAAAATTAACCGTAGAACTCCCCTAGGACCCAGCAATAGCACTGCTAGGAATTTACCCAAGGGATATAGGAGTGCTGATGCATAGGAACACATGTACCCCAGTGTTCATAGCAGCACTCTCAACAATAGCCAAAACATGGAAAGAGCCTAAGTATCCATCAAAGGACGAATGGATCAAGAAGATGTGGTTCATCTATACGATGGAATACTACATGGCAAGGAGAAAGAATGACACATGGATGGACCCTGAGGGTGTTATGCTGAGCAAAATAAGTCAGGCAGAGTAGGACAAATACCATATGTTTTTCCATAGGAGGATTAGGAGGAACTTAATGGAGGACCATGGGGGTGAAGAAGGGGGGAAATAGTGGGGGAGAGGGAGGGAGGCAAACCATGAGAGACTCTGGAATGCTGAGAACAAACTGAGGGCTGATGGATGTGGGGGGTAGGGGGGAGATGGGCATGGAGGAGGGCACTTGTGAGGATGAGCACTGGGTGTTATATGGAAACCAACTTGACAATAAACTATTTGTAAAAAAAATCTTTTTAAATAAAAAACGAAAAAATTGTAGAACCGTATTGATCTAATATTTCTAAAATTAAAATTCATCTTACAAAGAGAAAAAATAAAATAAAATAAAATAAAATAAAATAAAATAAAATAAAATAAAAAAGAGTGATTTGGGCTCCGGTCATGATCTCACTGTTCCCAAGTTCGAGCCTCTGTCAGGCTCTGTGCTGAGAACTCAGAGCCTGGATCTTGCTTCAGATTCTGTCTCCTTCTCTCTCTGCCCCTCCCGCACTCATGCTCTGTCTGTCTCTGTGTGTCTCTCAAAAATAAAAATGAATATTAAAAAAATAGAGTGACATTAAGGGAAGATGGGGGGAAGGGTTAAATAGGTGATGGGGGTTAAGGAGGGCACTTCTGGTGATGAGCACTGGGTGTTGTATGTAAGTGATAAATCACTGAATT